AAAAAATTCAACCAAAATAATAATTTCAACCAAACAAAAATGCAGTTTCCCTCCTCTACCTCCTAGTAGGTTGGAAGGTACTTGAAGCGTGGCTCATTATGTTTTTGCACCTTTTTTTTCAGTGATTTTTGGTCAACTGCAGCATGAAAACTGTTGCACCAATCAACATGAAATAGCTGTGTTCAACCTACACTGCGTTATCCAAAGGTTTTATGACAGACCCCATATTTGAAGAGGGAGCTCCATCTAAAGAGAGGGTGTTTAGACATACAAAAACTGCTTATAACTTTTTTGTTGTTAAGCTCTGATGAAGGGCTGTCCAGTGAGCCCACCAATGAGCCACCGTACCTCCCTCGGACCCCCATCTTATCTGAAAAAGGGGTGTCTGCACATATAAAAATGCTTATAACTGAAATCATCCTTCACCTACCCAATCCCATGATGCATTGCAGGTGGAAGCTGGCTGTTCACACAGGAATGGAGAGCAGGAAAAAGAAAATGTTCATATTTCCCTTTTCCTTGACATAAAATTAACTTTTAGAAAGTTTTTAGGTGGGAATGTAACATTGCAGAACTCAAATATTTTGCTTTATTACAATTTTACTTCAATGTTTTTGGACATGTCCGTTGTCGCTACACTCTGTCTGGCAGCTATCAGCTGATCAGGCTCTTCCTGCAGCCGTCCGGCRGCTGAGTGGACTAAATAAATGCTACAGATTATTAACTCAGCAGACACAAATTTAAATAGTCTTCTCCCTGCTACAATCACATATACAGTTTGTCTCTTGGGATCAGCCTGGATCTCCATACTGCAGAGCATGTGCTTCTCCCTGGTCAAAGGACAGTGAGCTGGGCCACAGCTGGGACAGGCCTTTTTAAAATTATTTAAAAAAATTTTTAAACAGAGTTAAATACTTTAGGTTCTGTTTGGTAACCTGTTTAGATGTGAAACAATCTCTGTTGAAATGTTCTTTAATAAAAGTATTGTTTTTTTTAAATATAAAGCAACAACAGGACGTCTAGGATGCCATAATGTCTGACACTCATTATTCGAAGACAGAATAAATTGTACCCTTTTGACCATACCTACTTCTGTTATGAATATATTGTGCAGCATTACTCTCTACTACTACACAAAACCAAAGTCTTGTAAACACAATTTTTAACATCTTTGGTTCAAATAAATTAGTTAGCCTCAAGAACAGTGCAAAGATCCATGTATGAAAAATATGACAGGATAAACAAATCATACCTTTGAGCGAAATGCTGGATGGACAAAATAGAAGGCCTTCAAATTCCTCTTGTACCTGCAACACACAAAAGTAATGAAAACATTTCATAAAGAATTGCTTCACGTGAAGATATAAATCAGCAGTTGAATCAAACAACTGTCTGTGTAAATTGTGTATTAAAAAGAAAATATTTATCGCACAGCTTCTCTTGCCTGGACTGTTGTTTTTGCTTCAACACAGCTGATTTAAATGAAGCCATAATTAAAGGTTTCTACAAAACCTGCAGACATGCTGAAGAGGTAATTCAACCATTGAATCAGATAGGTTGGAGATGACAAACAATGAAAATATGAAGAATTGTGGCCGTCGAAGACCAGGATTGAACACCATTTTGTTCTGGAGGGAACATCCCAGTTCCTTGTTCTTCAAAAAGACAGCTTTATACAAAATGTGGATGTTCAGGTGCTCCACTGACCTGAACAAAAACTGCCCACAAATTTACATTAGCTTTACCAAGGATTGTACAATCATGATAAAAAAATAACGATTTTTTTGACTTGAACTTTATTGACTTTCCATCAAAAATATACTGCAGTTCCACACTTAACATAGCACAACCTAAACAGTGGTTAGTCCGCATGGATGCTTTGGAATAAATCCTCAAAACGGTTGTAAAGAATTACTTAATAAAATTAAAAAAAAATTATAAACACACACACACACACACACACACAC